AGAGAGAGAGAGAGAGAGAGAGAGAGAGAGAGAGAGGAGGTGGGGGGAGGATCCTCCGTCCGCAGCAGCACCGAGCATCCCCGACGCCCCTACCCGGAGCGAGAGGCGCAGCAGGCGGAGGCGAGGCGCTGCAGGAAGCCGCTGCTCCCTCCTTGCACCGCCGGACTTCGAGCCAAACAGGACTGGATCTTCTCGGTGGGACGTTTTACTCCTTATTGCACAATATTATTACTGATCCGAGCTGTTTTGTGCCTCTCAGCCTGGCACACAGCAGCTTGTGAAGGATCCCGTCCGAACAGAAAGCCGTCCGCTCCGGTCCATCATTAAAATGTAACATAAAACGCGAGCGGAGCGTCTCTCCGCTGCTCGGCTTCATTCTGTTGTTGACTCCTCACGCGGCGGTTTCTTTTCTCGCAACTTAATTACCGATAAATTCCCCCCCAAAAAACAAAACAAATAAGAATAGTATAAAAATAATCCACTTTAAATTTCCAGGAGCCCGGAGGAGGCAGAGAGGAAGGGGAGGGGAGGATCGCAGGACTGGATCCGAGCGGCGCATCATCATCTCCGGCGTAGATCTGGCTGTCGAGGCGCATGGAGAAGAGGGTAGGTGTGGGTGTTACTGTTTTTAAAGTGTTATTCACCACAACCTGCTTCTACCAGTTCTATAATGAGTGAAACATAAAAAAGAAGCACGTGTGTTGGAGCCTGTTTTCTGCTGCCACACAAACACAAGGCCCAGTTAGAGACCAGTATGTTACTGGGATGGACTTCATGACCAGGAAAAAAAAACAGGAGGCACTTTGATTTCTTCAGGGTTTGAATTTGTTTAGAGAAATTGGAAGTTTTTAAGACGAAGCGGTGAAAAGCAACTTTTAAATCTCTCATCCTCTCATGCATAAGTTGAGATTTATCTCAGTGTTGGACTGTCCATCCCTCTCCAGGGAACAACAGCCCGGCTGCTGCTGAGGGTGGATGTGAGTTAAAGGTTAGAGAGTTAAGAGGCATAGGGGATGCAGCTCTTCAACTCCATAAGTAGGTCAGTGTTTTTGCTACAGTGATTCAGAGGCTTGGTGGTGAAGAGGAGGAGGAGGAGAGGAGGAGGAGGAGGAGGAGGCTGCTGGGCAGCAGGCAGACTGAACCCTCTTCCCTTTTAGAAGAAGAGAGCAATTAGGGATGTGCAGACGAGAAATCACACAGTGAGGACGCTCAGAACCATCAGAACAACTGAATATTCCACACCTGGAGAATAATCTGATGGATGATTCTGAATTACAACGTTCAGATTAACTCTGTTACTATTTGGAAGCAAATATCTCCTTGAAAACCCCCCAAAATGAGTTTGTTTGGCATTTAGATGTCCCCAAAACACATGCATTCTTATTCTATTATTCTAAGAATCCCAATTAGTGCAGATTAATTCAAATATTCTGAATATGTCAGGGATGATTTCATTAGAAACGTTTCCATTTGTTTAGTTAAAAAAAGTAAAAATATAAAACTTGCAGTATTTGTTTATTGTCTGGAGGGACAGATGTATATCTAAGGGTAAATCTGTTGCAATGCATCAAATGTTTTAGTATTTATGTTTTAATTATATTCAGTCCTGTTTAAAGGAAATCAAAAAGTTTATTTGTTACCAAAATGTGCCTTTGGTTTGAATTTGTTTCACAGTTAAAAGGCGTGAATTTTAGGGTGAATTACAAAGTATCACACATTTTCACAAATAATTTGCATTTTATCTTTTAAATACTTTAGTGCACATCATCTGTGCTATTAACGTTTTGCAGAAAGGAAAGCTTTGCATAAAACATCGTACGTCAGGGTAATTGCTAACTCTAAATGTGAGAATGAACAGTTGTTGTCTCATTTGTCTCTATGATGGACTTGTGACGTGTCCAAGGTGTCCCCATGTCTCACACAGTGGACACAGACAGCTTCCTGTCTCCTGGGAAGGAAAAATAGATAAAAACATGGATGGACAACATTATTTAGATTAAACAAGGAAAAAAACGTCTTGTTAGGTCATCTGCAGTAAACTCGTTGACGTAAACCCGAACATTAAGACGATACAAGTTGTTCTTTTATTTGTTATATTGGACCCTGATCCAGGACTAGGACCAGGTCCCGGCATCACACCACAGTCAGATCAAACATTTTCCTTTTGGTCACACCTTTCTGGTTGAATCAACAAACTCGTTAAAAAATGTTTTTCTACCATGTGAAGCCTGTTTGTCAGATTCATGACTGAAACAAACAAACAAACAAACAAACAAACAAACAACAAACGGGGTAAAATTAACAGAATTTGGGCGTCTGAACTTTGATCCGCTCTGACGCAGAAACTCGATCGTGGGGCGTAACACGAGACGTGCCATCTGATAGCGGTGATTGTTTTAATGGCCGACCCGGCCCGCCATAAAAATCTAGAAGGTGTCCCGGGACAGGGCCTCAGAGCAGGTGCTATCCATATGGGAGTCTGAAACACAACAATTTGATCGGACGGCAGACCCCAAAGAGGGGTCTTCCTGAAAACGGGTGGGCATCCAGGGAAGGGAATTTAAAATAGGAAGAAACTGTCGAGAACAACTAAAACTGGACAAAATGTGTTGGTTTCTGTGAGCGTTGCAGAGGTGTACATATAGTAACTAAGCACATTTACTTTGCTACAGTACTTAAGTATTTTTTTTGAGGATTTGTAATTTTTAAGTATTTTTTTTTATTTTTACTTTTACTTAGTTACTTTTAAAACTTAAAAAGTGATACTTTTACTTCTATACTTTAAAGTTTAACACCTAGTTACTTGTTATAAATGAAATCTGTCTGAACTCCTCATTAAAGGAGTTGTTTATGTGCTCTAAAATGATTAATTGTTGAATTTACTCAACCAAATCATATCAACTATTTCCACTAAACCTAGCAGAGTAAATTTGAGATGATCTACATATTTTATTTTAAAGAAATTGACCAATTTAATCAACTTGGTTTTGTGCAGCCAGTTTGGTTCAGTGAATTTAATAGTTTATTTGTTAGAGAGCGTGGAAAAGTACTTTTACTTCTACTTTCCCAAAGTTTGTGAACAGTTTTATGACTTTTACTTAAGTAGTTTTCGCATCAGTGACATTTATTTTTACCAGTCATTTTCTGTTAAGGTATTTTTACTTTTAATTGGTGATTTTTTTTCAAGTACTTTATAGACCTCTGGAGCGTTGTTGGATTTGAACTGTTTTAATAAGAGCAGAAATTACCAGATTTAAAGTCGGTGCGTCTCCCTGTCTTTATAACTCTGTTATAAATCTCAGGCCCTGAACGCATCGTAGCTTTCGTGGTTTGGTTAAAACGGCCGACGCCACGCTGCAGGAAGTGTTCGTGATCCTCATGACGCTCGAGGACCAAGACCTGAGGTTTTTCTTTAATCCAGCAGAAACTGATTCGCTGACCAGACCCAACCCAAACACTGTCTGAAACGGGTTTTCTGTAAAACGATTACAAAAAAATAGCCTGTGTGTGTGTGTGTGTGTGTGTGTGTGTGTGTGTGTGTGTGTGT